CATTGTGTCAGCCAAATTTGACCCTTAAAATGCAGGAAATAGCGTTTCAGAGGGTCCAGATTTTAATATTTTTAAGGGGGAATGCCCGCATCCCTCTAGTAAGGTCGCGCGAGGTTGGTGAGCAGATCTCGCACCTCCATGCAAACATTTCGTGCCGCCGCCTCAGGGTCTGAAGCCTGATCACGTGTACACACCAATCAAAGTAACTGTGACCCATCACTGCATTTACAGTCCAGTGGCGGCGACACGGGGGAGGGGGCGGACGCACAAACCAAATCAAGCTGAAACGCTTTGTGTCAGCATAATATGCCACTCAAAATGCAGTCGACTTTGACCCATCACTGCGTTTACAGTCAACTTTGACTCATCACTGCATTTTCAGTCAACTTTGACCCGTCACTGCGTTTACATTTAACTTTGACCCGTCACTGCGTTTACATGTGACTTTGACCAATCACTGCAGTTACAGGTGACTTTGACCCGTCACTGCGTTTACAGGTGACTTTGACCCATCACTGCATTTACAGTCAAGCTTGACCCATCACTGCGTTTACAGTCAGGCTTGACCTATCACTGCGTTTACAGGTGACTTTGACTCATTACTGCGTTTACAGGTGATTGACCCATCACTGCGTTTACAGGTGACTTTGACCCATCACTGCGTTTACAGGTGACTTTGACCCATCACTGCGTTTACAGGTGATTGACCTATTACTGCGTTTACAGGTGACTTTGACCCATCACTGCATTTACATGTCATTTTGACCCATCACTGCATTTAAAGTTGACTTTAACCCATCACTGCGTTTACAGGTGACTTCGCCCTATTACTGCGTTTACAGGTGATTGACCCATCACTGCGTTTACAGGTGACTTTGACCCATTACTGCGTTTACAGGTGACTTTGACCCATTACTGCGTTTACAGGTGACTTTGACCCATTACTGTGTTTACAGGTGATTGACCCATCACTGCGTTTACAGGTGACTTTGACCCATCACTGCGTTTACAGGTGACTTTGACCCATCACTGCGTTTACAGGTGACTTTGACCCATCACTGCGTTTAAGGGTGACTTTGACCCATCACTGCATTTACATGAGATTTTGACCCATCACTGCGTTTACAGATGACTTTGACCCATTACTGCGTTTACAGGTGATTGACCCATCACTGCGTTTTAATACAGGTGACTTTGACCTATTACTGTGTTTACAGGTGACTTTGACCCATTACTGCGTTTACACGTGATTGACCCATCACTGCGTTTACAGGTGACTTTGACCCATCACTGT